GGTCGTCCTCGAAAGGGTTGGAGAGAGGGGGTAAAGGAGGTTTTGTGGGCAAGGGACTTGGACTTCCAGCAAGCGTGCATGAGCGTGTTAGATAGGAGTGAATGGAGACAAATGGTATTTGGGACCTGACGATCTGTTATTTTCATATAGTCGGACTCGAGTCCTGGAAATGGGAAGTACAATGCCTGCACTTTAAAGGAGGGGTTTGGGATATTGGCAGTTTGGAGGGATATGCTGTGTATCTTTATATGTGTATGCTTCTAAACTGTTGTATTCTGAGCACCTCTGCAAAAACAGTGATAATGTGCGAGTGTGGTGAAAGTGTTGAATGATGATGAAAGTATTTTCTTTTTGGGGATTTTCTTTCTTTTTTGGGTCACCCTGCCTCGGTGGGAGACGGCCGACTTGTTGAAAAAAAAAAAAAATTAGACAAGAGATAACCTGTAGCCATAACTGAAGTGTTACTTTGTATACAGAAAAAGAGGTTAACAGGAGTTTGTGACTGACTGACTTAAATGACTGACTTACTGAATGACTGACTTACTGAATGCTGACTGACTGAACTGACTTACTGAGTGATTTGACTGACTGAATGACTTACTGAGTGACTTGACTGATTTACTGAATGACTTGACTTACTGAATGACTTGACTGACTTACTGAGTGACTTGACTGACTTAATGAATGACTTGACTGACTTACTGAGTGACTTGACTGACTTACTGAGTGACTTGACTGACTGATTGAATGACTTGACTGATTTACTGAATGACTTGACTTACTGAATGACTTGACTGACTTACTGAGTGACCTGACTGACTTACTGAGTGACTTGAAAGACTGACTGCCTTGACTGTAATATTATTATTATTATTGCTGAAAAGAAATAGAGGATAATTTCCATGGAATTAAAGCATGAAATCATAGATAAACAAGCGAGGTGTCCAGGTTTTGGGTTGAGGGGGAAGAGGGAGGGGGAAACTGGCTCGTAATTCAAATGTTGGCTCGTAACTCAGAGCAAAAAATTGACCCAGGGATGGTTCGTATCTCAAAAAACTCATAAGTTGGGACACTCGTAAGTCAAGGTTCCACTGTATTCCAATTTCAAAATAGGCTCCAGAATAAACAATGCAGGCATTCCTGGCACTAAACTAACATTTCCTCTGTTCATTAGTTACGTTTTCAGGCTTTACAAATGAATTCCATTTTGATTTTTTATTCACATAATGAATTTTTATTCAAACCAAAAAATAGAAGATTTACTGCCATGCAATAATGTAATAATTGTATAAATATCATCACCACATTTGTGAACGTATATTAGACCCACCAGCCGGCGTGTATTAGACATGTGAGGTCATTTGTTTACTCATGAACATCAGCAAAAATTTAACATTTCCGCTATTTTGAGCTCAGTTTCAAGCCATTTCCAGTACCAAAACCAATCAAAATCATCTCTATTTCTGTAATATATCTTCCATTCTATCAAATGAGACCAAGAAATCGCAAATACATGTATAAAAAACATAAGAAAAAACACTGCAAAGTTGCTGTTTTAATTGAAAATTACGGTCTCAGTTTTTTCTTTCATTATACACTGTGTGCTGCAGGATTTATGTGGTGCACACATACCATATAGATGTATTCTCTCATATCTAGGCCCAAATTTACCACTCACAGTTTATCAGAGTGAGCTGAGCTCATGGCGTAGATCTACGGTTTGGACCCTCAACGTAAAGCCGTAGATCTACAGCATGGACCCTGAAAGGGTTAAAATCACCAAGAGTGCCCTTCTAGTCTTGATGCCACATGAATAATAATAGTAATATTTTTTTTTTAAACACATGGGTCATTTCCAACCAAGGCAGGGTGATCCAAAAAGAAAGAAAAACCCAAAAAGAAAGAAAAATACTTTCATCATTCAACACTTTCACCAATACTCATACATAATCACTGTCTTTGCAGAGGCACTCAGACACGACAGTTTAGGAATCCTTCCAAACTACCAATATCCCAAACCCCATTGTACTTCCCATTTCCAGGACAGGTCTGGCTAACCAGTTTCCCTGAATCCCTTCACAAAATATTACCCTGCTCACACTTCAACAAATCGTTATGTCCCAAAAACCATTCGTCTTCATTCACTCCTATCTAACATACTCATGCATGCTTGCTGGAAGTCCAAGTCCCTTGCTCACAAAACCTCCTTTACCCCCTCCCTCCAACCTTTTTGAGGATGACCCTTACCCAGCCTTCCTTTCCCTACAGATTTATATGCTTTCCAAGTCCTTCTACTTTGTTCTATTCTTACTAAATGACCAAACCACCTCAACAACCCCTCTTCAGCCCTCTGACTAATATTTTCAGTAACTCCACACCTCCTAATTCCCACACTCTGAATTCTCTGCACAACATTTACACCACACATTGCCCTTACGTAATAATAATAATCACTTTTGGACACATTAAATGCCTTATTTTACGTTAATATAGACATTTTCATTAATCCATCTATGTTAATTTCTTCAAAGTTATATAAGAAACACTTTACATAGCATATAAACATGATACATACACCCACAGTACAATAAATTTCACTTAAATATGAGATGTAGCCAAGGAGGAAAAGAATTATATTTTCTCCGGTCCAGCACCAGAAAAAATGTGTATCAATGCGCATTTGGCCCAGTCACTTCCTTTAATGCATTCAGCTTTGTTTACAATTCTCAGCATGACTTCTCATCACTTCTCTATTGTTTATGATGGCATCTAAAGATAGTTGTTAGAAATAATTAAACTCAACAAACAAGGTATGCCGATGGTAATAATATCGCTCTGGGAGGTTTAAATATCGTATACAGCCTCTCCTCACTTATCAATGGAGTTCCGTTCCTATGATCACATCGGTAAACAAATTTGTCGCTAAACGAGGAATCACCCCTCAACGATACTTCACAAAAGTCACCACCCGAAATTAAAACATTCAGTTTTGTGTTTGCTGTGAAAATCCTTTCAATCCGTTCATTATTAACGATGATACAACCCAGACAAACACATCGGCTAACTGCTTTCCTGTGAACTTCTTTTGTACTTCTTCCATATTCCTATTGTTTTTCCTCTTCAAAGTGCTACTGCACTTCTAACTATTGTGCACCCCATAGTACAAGATAGAGCTAGAAGTGCAGCAGCACTTGGAAGAGGAAAAACAAGAGAAAAATGGAAGAAGTACAAAAGTTCACAGTAAAGGGGGTTAGCTGGTATGTTTGTCTGTGTGTTTACATTCTCTGTCTCTCTCTCGTGGCAGCTTAATTAAGAAATAATTAAACTCAGTAAACAAGGTATGTTGATGGTAATAATAATAATAATAATAATAATAATAATAATAATAATAATAATAATAATAATAATAATAATAATTAATAACAATAACTGCTATGAAATGCTTTAAATGTCAGCTACCAAACCTATACGAAATATGTATGGCATTTAAAGTGCTCCAGAGCAATTATTATTTATTATTACACCATCAACATACCTTGTTCACCAAGTTTAATCATTTCCTAATTAAGCTGCCACGAGAGACACAAAGAATATTAACATAGACGAACACACCAGCTAACCTCTCTACTGTGAACCTCTTTTGTACTTCTTCCATTTTCCTCTTTTCCCTCTTCCAAGTGCTGCTGCACTTCTATCTTGTACTATGGGGCGCACAATAAAGTACAAATTTATAGACGAAATATGTAGTCTTGGAGATTGCTTGATACTGAGACCCATCACTAACCCTATTACAATGAACTTTTTTTGCACTTCTTCCATTTTCCTCTTTTTCCTCTTCCAAGTGCTGCTGCACTTCTATCTTGTACTATGGGGTGAACAATAAAGTACAAATTTGTACAGATATGTAGTCTTGGAGACTTTGAAAGCTAGTGTACTAAGTGGCTGTAGGAAGGAGATTGAAATGCTTGAAGCTAAAACACTGCACTGCTCGTTTCCATGACCCAAGTTCTCATACAGCATACAATACCGACTCGTCAGGGAGAGCCCGTTGTAACTCTGAGTTGTCGGTAAATGAGTATGTCAGTAAGCGAGGAGAGGCTGTATTACATTTAGCTGTGGGAGCCAGGCGGGCTATGTAGCTACACCTACCAGGCTACCTACACCCGACTTCCTACAAATAAATACTACTCACCTCTCACCCTACATTAAGACCACAAATATTTTAAGATAAGTAATAAATGCACTGTGTATGTATTTTATTTTTTATTGTTTTTAATGCTTAGTTTTACTGTTAGTTTAATATATGTTAGTGTAAACTTGTTAACTGGCATTTGTATGCATTTGTAAGTGGAAGAAAAATGGTGTTCTGCTTTCCGGCGATGTCCACTTTCCAACTGCAGCCTAGACCCTAACCTGCCATATAAGTGGGGCCCTATTGTATATCATTAAAATTCACAGATGAGTATTATATAGTAGAAAAAGGTACATAATGCTCATCTAGAAAAACATATTACCAGTTCAAAATAGAGGTCAGGACTCAGGTCCTCAAGCCTCGTGCAGTTTCCCAACTTATCCTAATTTGTTATTTTCTAATGTATATAAATCCCAATGTCAGTTTATTAACACACTCTGTATACTTACAAATGCTTTTTTTTTTCTTTATTTTAATTGAAGTACAGTTAAAGCTGGTTGCTTAAACCTATCCTACACCAATATAATGCCCGTTTCCATAAAAAATACTAATTTCTATCAAAAATAAAAGGGATATATAATATAAAATTAACCTATATAAAGCAATGCAACCAAATTAAATCTAATTATAATACTCAAAGTTTTCAATTACTACACTCATCACCAGTTAATTCTCACTTTAATTAAAATAAATATTTTTCATAAAACTAAGTTAGCCTGACTGGTCAAGACCACCACTTTTTTCTTCCAAGATGGTAATGTAATATGCATGTACAGCACTGACATGTATAAAAACTTGAAAATTTCACCTGCAGAGCTCTAAGTGTGGGCAAGTAATGGTAGTTGTGTTTCCTGAGTTCATTATCAATATCCCTGATGAGGTGGTATGGCAAGTCTCGCTTCAACTGAGCTCGAGCATTATCCATATATGTTGAATTCATGGTTTTCTCCGAATCACAAAACACCTGAAAAATAAAAACTTTTAAGCAAATGGGGATCAATGTCTAAAAAATGCTCATCAAGCTATACAGTATAAACTCAAATCAGATTATTATGGATAAATAGATTACTTGTACGTACTTAGATTATGATTACAATTTGTCTGATAAACAGATATTATCCATGAGGGGATAACACTCAAGTATACTACTAGTACAGCACATTTCATACCAGTACACATCATAGAGAATATAGTATCGTCAGTCAAGTTTATTATTCAGCACAGAAAGGCTTCATTATATAAAATACAGCAATATCTCTCTTATTCAGTACTCTACTGCAGTACAGTACAGTGGACCCTCAGTTAACGGCCATAATCCATTCCAGAAAGTTGGCCTAAATCCGAAAACCAAAATAATATTTCCCATAAGAATTAATGTAAATCCAATTTATCCGTTTCAGACACCCAAAAATATTAACAAAAAATACATTTTTTGGCCAGATTGCATGATCCTCCGGTAACATTATTTATTAAATTTTACCAGTTGTTTTTATATAGATGGACTTGAGTCCTGGAAATGGGAAATACAATGCCTGCACTTTAATGGAAGGGTTTGGGATATTGGCAGTTTGGAGGTATGTGTACTAGGATGGTATATATATAATTGGGGCCCTGATAATATTATATTTTATTATATTATTTCAGGTCACTTTTTATATTGTATCTTTATATATGCCTCCAAGCTGTTGTATCTGGGCACCTCTAAAAAAACAGTGATTATGTATGAGTGAGGTGAAAGTGTTGAATGATGAAAGTATTTTCATTTTGGGGATTTTCTTTCTTTCTGGGTCACCCTGCCTAGGTGGGAGATGGCTGACTTGTTGAGAAAAAAAAATTGAAGATTAACTATAGTTTTACATACAGAAAACAATGAAAAATTTATTTTTTTTTTTATTTGGACATGATACATAGTTGTACAAAGAAATATAGGGAATGGGTGTACATGCCAAAAGCCCCTTGTATGCAGAGCATTATGGGCAGGCTTAAAATAAATATAAATATAAATATAAAGCACAAATTTTAATGATAAATGAACATTACATACCTTTATTGAAGACTTTTGTTGGTGTACTGAAGAAGGCAGGAGGGGAGAGGGAGTTGGGAATCCCCAACTCCCTCTCCCCTCTGTGTAGTGTAGCCCCCCTGTGCTACACTACACAGCCATATTATTACCATGTTCACTGAGTTTAATTGTTTTTAACAACTACCTTTAGATGCCATCATAAACAAAGGGAGATATAATGAATACTTCACGCCGAGAATTGTAAACAAACACACATGAAGAGCGGTTACTGGGTGAGACGCCAGATTCAGTTTTCTTTAACTTGAATCAGAGAAAATGTAATGTTTACTCTCCACCCGACTCTCCACTCGATAGTACATCTACCATCCAACTTATGACCTGCTCGACATACGACCAAGTTTTTTATGCCAAATTTCTGGGAAATAAACAACTGTTTGTGTTGTACATAGTGTTTATCCTAAACCTTACGGTATAAAATACAGTACTAACAGCATAAAAAGTAAAGTAAAAACTGAAATACGAAAATAAAACAATAAAATAAAATCATTACAAAAGTGTGATGTTGATGTTCAGTAGTAAGGTTCGACTTGCGTCCATTCTGACTTACGACTGGTTCATCAGAACCAAGCTTGGTCGTAAGTCAGATGGTACCTGTATATGAACATTGCATGTTTATATGCTATATGCTATGTAATGTGTTTCTTACATAATTCTGAAGAAAATATCATAGATGGATTAACCCTTTGACTGTCGTGACCCCAAATCCTAAAGTGTCTCTCTGTGTCACAAAATTTAAAAAAAAAAAAAAAAAAATCTTTTGAAATGATAGAGAATCTTTTCCCGATGTTAATGACACCAAAAGTATGAAATCTGATGGAAAACTTATGGAACTACACTCTCGCGAAGTTAGCAATCTCAGCGATGTTTACAAAGCGGCGATTTCGCCCGCTTTGAGCTCTATTTTCGGCCAATTCCATTGTTCCAGTAGACCAAACTCATAGCTATTTCTTTAGAATTCCATTTGTTCTATCGACTGAGTACAAGAAATTGCCCATTTACCAATTGCAAATACCCAATAAAGTGGTCAGAAATTGGCAATTTGGCCAATTTCACACAAATTAAAAAAGATGCCAATTTCAAAATAAGGTCCAGAATGAACAAAGTAGACATTCCTTTCACTAAAATAACATTTTCTCTGTGCATCAGTCATGCCTCCAGGCCCCTCTTATATTACTCTTGCTTTCTATTTTGAATTTTTATTCACACAAAATATAGAAGATTTACTGTTATGCGGACTCCTGCATTACTGTAATAATTGTATAAGAGCATAAGAATGGAGGAACACTGCAGAAGGCCTACTGGCCCATACAAGGCAGGCCCTTATCAACACGACCTCTACCCAAAGCTACCCAAGAATTTACTCCCGTACCCAATGACACCAATCAAACCCAGCCCCTCCCACTCATATATTTGTCCAATCTCACTAGTGGCGTTCCACAAGGATCAGTTTTAGGCCCTCTCTTGTTCATAATTTACATTAATGACCTTGATGAAGAGATTACGAGTGACATGAGCAAATTTGCTGATGATACAATAATAGGCTGTATGATTCATTCTGAGGACAGCAATGAACTCCAGGAGGATTTGGACAAATTAATGTCTTGGTCTGAAAAATGGCAGATGAAGTTCAGTGTGGATAAGCATAAGGTACTAGTCCTTGGTAATGAAAATAATCCTTGAAGCTATAAACTAGGTGAAGTAGAGTTTGATCATACAGAATGTGAAAAAGACTTGGGAGTCATGGTAAGCAGAAATCTAAGGCCAAGACAGCAGTGCCTAAGTGTGCGCAACAAGGCTAACAGATTACTAGGATTTATCTTAAGAAGCATAAGTAACAGAAGTCCAAAAGTTATTTTACAGCTCTATACATCACTAGTGAGGCCTCATTTAGATTATGCCGCTCAGTTTTGGTTCCCTTACTACAGGATGGATATAGACTCATTGGAGAACATACAGAGAAGAATGACTAAAATGCTTTACTGTGTAAGGAATCTCCTGTATGAAGATAGGCTTAAAGCTTTAAATCTCCACTCTCTGGAGAGATGTAGAATGAGGGGAGATATCATTGAAGTGTATATGTGGATGACGGGCATAAACAATGGAGATATTAATAAAGTACTGAGAGTGTCGAACCAGGTAAGAACCAGAAATAATGGATTTAAGTTGGATAAATTTAGATTTACAAAGGACAAAGGTAAGTACTGGTTTTCTAACAGAGTTGTGGATGCGTGGAACAATCTTCCCAGTAGGGTGATCGAGGCTAGGACTTTGGGCAGCTTTAAAAAGAGATTGGACAAATATACGAGTGGGAGGGGCTGGGTTTGATTTGTGTCATTGGGTACGGGAGTAAATTCTTGGGTAGCTTTGGGTCAAGGTCATTTTGATAAGGACCTGCCTTGTATGGGCCAGTAGGCCTTCTGCAGTGTTCCTCCATTCTTATGTTCTTATGTCTAAAACTGAGTACAGTAGATCCCCTGTATCCATGGATTGGTTTCAACTGTTTCAGTTATCCACTGTTTACTGTGGCCCAAAAGTGAGCCTTAATTTTGTTTAATAATGACCACAAAACACAAAAGTAGTGATGTTGGAAGCTCTTCAAAACCTAAGAGAAGCCATGAAGTGTTTCCCATCAGTGAAAAAGGGACAATTCTCCATTTCTTCTTTCTTTCAACACACCGGCCATATCCCACCGAGGCAGGGTGGCCCAAAAGGAAAAACAAAAGTTTCTCCTTTTACATTTAGTAATACAGTGGAACCTCAAATATAGAACTTTCTTCAGTCCAGAAGGCTGTTCAAGTGTCGCTTCTGAACAAATTTATTCCCATCAGGAATAAGATAAATTAGATTAGTCCATTTCAGACCCTCAAAAATACACTAATAAAAGCACTTACAAAAATACACTTACATAATTGGTTGAGTTGGGAGCAGTTCGATTTTTGAGGTTCCACTGTATACAGGAGAAGGGGTTACTAGCCCCTTACTCCCGGCATTTTAGTCGCCTTTTACAACACGCATGGCTTACGGAGGAAGAATTCTGTTCCACTTCCCCATGGAGGTAAGAGGAAATAAACAAGAACAAGAACTAGAAAGAAAATAGAAGAAAACCCAGAGGGGCATGTATATATATGCTTGTACATGTATGTGTAATAATAAGAAGAAAATTGTCAAAGTGGGAAGTCTGAATGTGCGTGGATGTTGTGCAAACTAACGGCGGTGGCGGCAGCGGCAGCAATGGTATCCTACCAGCTCTTCTTTCTCAAAAAAACATAGCTCATCAAAACTTGTGATGGCCTAAGTGAAAGTTCAACTACATGAACCCACATAGACCACAACATGACCCAAGAATACTAAGAATGTAACCCAAATCTTGACAAAATTAGAAGATCTAAGGAAGACAGCCCTGCTAACCCAAACACTGCCTCCGCTGCCAAACAACCACTTAACCCAAGCTCCGAGAAAACAAGCTTTCTCCATTGCTACACAGTATCTACTTCAGTGATACTATGAAAGGATATCGCAGAAGAAACAACACCAGTAATAATAGGATAACAGCAAGGACCCTAGAACTCAACTTGTCTACCCAGCAGGACGCCGGTGTATCATCAACCCCCCTCACCGCCGCCACCCAGGGAACAACAACAACAACAACAACAAACATGGCTGACTCCCCCTCCAACTCCACTCCCTTCAAAGGATTCACCCATGATAACTCAGGTATGATTATTCCTGACAATATCAAGGACTACATTGTTGCTCTAGAAAATGAAATCAAAGATATCAAAGCAACACTCGAGCGACGAGAATCCAAGATAACCAACCTCGAGAACAAGATCCAAAACCTTGAAGAGAAGATTACATCGGGAAGTGTTGACACAGAAAAT